AGGGAAAGAAAATGCAGAGTTATATGATTAACCATTTACCATTCATGGCTAACACAATCACATAAAGGCAATAACACTGGAGTGCAGTCGAAGCTTCTCCATCACTCCATTTCCTACCATATAGCAACCTGATGAGAGAATAAGAGTAGCTTGGACCAAATGCGATCACAACCAGACCTAACCAATAAAAGAACAGTAACATTTAGAAAAGAATTAAATATACATTGCAAGCAAATATGTGCTTGTTAGAAATTTAGAAAGGTTATTCTTCAAATTATAAGTTATAACAACCAGTAACTGCATTATTATTTTTTTTTTTTTTCCAGCAGGAAGATCTAGAAAAATCTCATTTTAGTTTTGGGAGTATTGTTTCTGTCCATTAGAGCCATATCTCATTTTCGCAACTCCAGTAATAGAAGGTATTATTGTTCACTGTTTCTAAAAACGTCGTTATCCTCTTCCATTTAACATTAGTTGGAACTCTGACAATATACAACCTTGCCGGTAAATATATAAAGCAAAATGTTGATTCTAGTTTATGCAGGCTGATGGTGAAAGATAAGCTAAGCTAGATCTTAAATCTTATTTCAAAATAAGATGTTGAAGTGTTTGACACAAATGGAAAGTGTGAATGTGCGAAGTTTTTGCATGTTATAATTAAGGAGGGGTTGAGAGATTTTATAGAAAAAGTTGTCATAGAGCTATTTTGTTTAGAAGTATATAAGCTTCTTTAGGAGCTTATTTTTGCAAGTAAATTGTCTTTCAATTTTATTTACACGAGCTTATAAGCAGTGAAATTCTTATAAGATGTTCTGAAGTGACTAAAGCTCAGCCGAACACTCTCTTGCTGATACAAGCTACGAGAAATCTGAGGCATAGTAAGATACCTATCAGCAAAACAAGCTTCAGCGCATCAGTCAGACTCCTTGCCAGGTTCCTCTTTTTCTCTTTGTAATCACCTGCATGCAAATTAAGTTAACAGCCTGAAATCACTGGTCCAAACTCAACTGTCATCAATAACAGGATGTCATAAGTTTTGGCGATCGAGCCAGTTCTGTTTCTTCAGATTTAGATAACCATCTTTCTAGAATGGGCATGCCATTCCAACTCAGATAATGCTTTAGAATTTACACAATGTTTGTGAGGATTATATGGAAATGATATACTGAATTTCTTGGACAATAAAACACACATTTGTAGAATTTGAACAGGAAAGAATAATACACAAAAGGAGAGAGGTGAACCTGATGCAGACCTTGCAAAAGTAGCATAGGAACTTTCTTCAAAAGGAAGAAAAACCATCCTCACAACCAAGCTCCCTGAGAGATCAATCATTTATCTTTCAGAACACTCCAAAATAGCAGAGGTGGACCCTACAAGTGCTCACACTAGCATTCTCATCCAATGCAAGCAACTCTATAATGAAAAATTCCTTCTTAATACATTGAATGCTGGCAAAATAATCAGGACCTACCTAATTTGTCCACGAGCCCATAGACTGCTTGGTTATATGGTGTATCCAGCCATACAAGGACCATCTTTTCACCTTCCTGAAGAATCAACTTTCGGAAGGATTGAAGTGTGAAAATCATACACATGTTTGCAAGCGTGTCATACCCTGTTTTGTTCCCTATCCTGCAATAGTTCTATCAGTTTACATAAGAAATTGAAAGCATTTTGCTTCTGAAAAACATTTTGTATTCACATTGGGAAACACAAGTCTTCATTATAAGAAAATTATGAGAGTACAGCTATTACATTTCCCGGGTATCACCTTTTTGACACTGCTAGTGGAGAATTGGATGAAAAAGAAATAGTGTACTGATTAAATTACTTCATCCTCTGAAGATAATGATGGGGCTAGAAAGAAAATTAGTACCTTAATGGAAACAGAACGGTTGTTCTATAAACTCGAAATAAAAGAAAGTAGCCCCAATAACCTAAGAAAATGGATGCTCCATACGCAACCTGTGATAAGGAAAATACAATTGCTTTCTCCTGAAATGCAAACAATGGTTGATTCAGTCAGCAGTTACAAACTTGACTTGGAGACATGAAAAGATAATATAAGCATGAAGTAGCAAAGCACGGAATATATGAGTGTACTAAAGAGAATTTGGTGAATCAAGAAAATAATCATAGTTTGGAACACCAGAAAAAATACATATCAACACTTTCACAGAAAGAACTATAAGACAAATGAAACAAACACAAGTCAACATGTTTTAAAGGAGTTGAATCAGCCTCACCGAAAGAAGATTCACTTTGAAGGTTCAAAGAATGGAAAACTCCAGATGACTACAATTTGAAATTTGACACTCTTAAAAAGAATCCTTAATATCCCAACTAAAAAAACTACCAATACTAACAAGCATCCTCATTATCACAACCCAAAAGTGTCATCCATGATAATATATGATTCAACATAAACACGCTTAAGATGAAATATTACAATTTTCTTGCTCAACTGTATCATTAAAGGAATATAAGCCTCCTAAGAGTTAGACTGTACCAGGCTCGGTTGCTTCAAGATGAGGACATAAGTTACAATACAGCGGAAAAGAGTGGCTGCAGCTTCAACAATAAGACGCAATCTGAGCAGAACCAAGTTCTGGGACAAAATATAAAGAGGCTCTGCCAGCAGCTCAATTATGCATGCAAAACCTGCATGAGTGTGGACATATTAATTCAGATGTGTTAAAAGAAGCATTTATGGAACAGAACTTAAATCTTAAGCCAATGAATCATAAGTTAAATGACTGACGCACAAAAATATAGCATCTATGCAATGATCTTTTATTTCAGAAATAGAATCAAAATTAAACTCCCATCAGCCAATGAACAAACAAAGCAACACCATAAGTTTACAATAAGAGCAGGTAAACTAATGAAAATAGCAGCAGATGATTGAAAATCAACTAAAACGGAACACTTGAACTTTAGAACGAACAAAATATTTGATGTTGCAATTTTCTATCTTTGGCAGTTAAGCTAGTACTACACATTTAAATTCTTTGAAATTCTACATCTTATTCTGGAATTAACTGATTTTTACGTTTCCAAACCCAGCCACTCATGTCCTGGAATACTATAATATCCCTTGTAGTGAACTTAGACAATTAAATAAATAAAGCCTGTGATCATGTTCGTGGCTTACCATTAATCAAGATAGCTTTTGCATATGGACTAGAGTAACTTAGGCCTTGCCACCAGAATACAAACAAACATGCTGCAAATGTCACCAGTATCCCTAACGGGGAAGTCATCCAGGCCACTTTCAACAGTTTAGCAGCATTTGCTTCTGTAGCTGAACCATTATGACTACAAGATGCAGAAATCTCAACTATCAAATTATACTCAAAAAAGCCAAATAATCTAGATAGTCATGAATAAGTTTGCATGGCCATACTTCCATCAGAAAATTACCGAGGAGACGCTAGTATGCCTAGAAAAATATATAAAGGCTAATACAATTTGTGTACAAAGCACAAAAACATGTGATGGGCTTTAAATGGCAAAGATGGGATCAGTTTACAATCTTATATATTCCACAGGCATACTCTGGACGAGAATTTTTATGAAGAACCCAAGTCTCATCAGCTTCTTAGCACCTTTTTAAAACAAATTGGAATTAGCATCATGTATTTGTTCTATTTCATATCATAAGAAAAATAGAATTGTTATATGAGAAGTACAAGGTTAGGAACTTCACGACACTTTCCCCATATTGAGTTCATTGGTTCGTTAAGAATTTAACAGCTTCAAGAAAGAAACTAAACCCAAAGTACTGAACACAATCAAGTAATTGACACAGGAATACGAGGAAGGACCAAATTAACGTATTGAAGATAATAACACCATATTTGAAGCATTCACGCTTCCCACCTGAAATCTGCCCTCATGCACGCTCTCCGGAATCCTTCCCTACTCAGAAATAATACACAGGTAACAAACAGATGGAACTGTACCGCATACAACTGTATTTTTCAATAAATATGGAGTGTTAGGTAGCACCAGCTAAGAAGGAACCACAAAAACAAATGTCATGAGTGTTGTTACATATGAAACTAAAGACACTGACACATTTGCAATAGTCTTGATCCGATGATAAAAGATCAAAATATAAAAAAATCTTCACTTTCAGAAATCTGAATATGAGCAAAAGAACAATATTCTTGGAGGACTCAAAATCGAGTCTTTGTTCCCGCAATCCACCCAAAATGCAGCTCAATTTCTAAGAGTGCACTTAATCTACATGATTTAGTCAACTTACAGTGCCTTCCCAATACGTGAAAAACATAAAAAATTGAGCTGTGAAAGAAGCAATTACCGCATAATCTTCTTCAGAGAGGTGTCTGACAATCCATGAATTGAAAATGAAAGGGATTCCCCTTGACAGAAACTGCGTAGCTATACACACGCATCATCATACGCATATACAAAAACACAAAAATAAAATGAAAAAATAATCGACTCAAATGGATATTGATTGGTAAAGGAAAAATCAACAAACCTAACAAATACTTGAATGTGCGTGGCAGATTGGCAGCTGCACCTCCATCGGTAGGATTCGAACTTGACATTTCTGAAACCATTTTTTTTTTTTCACTTTTTAATTTTTTTCAAATTTATTTGTGTGTACTGAATCTACTGATCAATGCAGCTCAATTTCTAAGAGTGCACTTTTTAATCTGTATTGTGTAGACAACGAGACTCGAGACCGTACAGGTGCCCCAAGGGCTGGGCCGGCTGGCTACCTACCCGGCCAGTCGGGTTGAAGTTTTGAAGGCCCACTACATGACGGGCCTAAACAGAGTTAACTGAGCTGGTCTCGGGCTTTTGTTGGGCGGGTGGTTCGGCCCACAGGATAAGCCGCTTATAATTTGACAATACTCTTAGAGCATGTTTGTTTGCTTAGTCAGGATTAGATAATTATAATCTTTAGATACAAGATTGGGGTATAGACATAAAAACCATCTCGTGTTTGTTATCCTTGATCAATGCAAGTTTAGATTATAGTTTAAAGAGGAATTTGCACCCCTTACCATTCAATTTTAATTTTATAACATTTTTACAGTTGATTTAGTTTTATTTATAAAACTACAATTTGAGACCTAAAATATTACATATATACCACCAGGTTCAGTTACAGAATTATGGGGCAAATTAAGTGTAATTATATCGTTAATTATGAATAGCATATATCTTTTCCAAAACGGCACCCCCCACTTTCTCCAAAGAAAAAACGGTACCCCACCTTCTCTCTACAGGAAAACCGATTGTTTTGCTCGGTCACCGCGAATTCCGCCACCTCCACCACCTTCACATCGTTCTGATTCTAGATCGGTTGCCACCCGCGTTGCCAACACTTTTCTCCTTCTCTACAGGAGTCGACAAGGGAGATTTCATCAATTATCGCCGGCGCCGGCGTCCTATTTTGAGGAATGGACTTATCATCCTATCACGATGCTCTCCGTTACTCTCTACGAAATTTCTCGATACATTATTATTCGATTCGCTCAGCCCAACTTTACCCGGAACAGATCTATTATTATTATTATTATTATTATTATTATTATTATTATTATTACTACTACTACTATTATCTCTTCCGGTTGCAACATACGAGCCGCCATTTGCAGCGTTTGGCCTGGAAATTTGTTCGGATGACGTTTTTGTTTCATATGATTTGTTGTCCTTTTTAGCAATTTTTGTATTTACAGACCTGACAGTAGAAACGGGCTTCACGCATTCAACAACCGAGTTACCAAATGATGTCAGCATCGATAAATCTGTTTCAAAGTTTATTTGATGTATATTTATAGTTTATTTGATGTTTATTTACCGTTTATTTGATATATATTCAGTATATGTTGTTTTTTCGATATTTATATTAATGTTTTTTGTTTCATTTTTATTGTGTAGTTCTGTCATGTGTTGTTCAACAGTACATGTTATGTAAATAAAAACGCAACATATACTGAAAATATACTGACTAATTTTGTTGTTCAAGAGCTGCATGCGAAATTGGATATTTGACTCGGTAAAAGTTATGTAAATAAAGACGCAACATATACCGAAACAAAGTTATGTAAAATAAATTATATGTGATGTATATAACCTTAGTATGTCTTTATATTTTTTGATAAATATACTGAAAATATAATGATTATAAACGCAACATACACTGAAAATATACTGAAAATATAAAGATTATAAACGCAACAACAAAAGGAGAGTTTTTTTTTTTTTAGCATACAGACGCAAGTCACGGGTAAAAAAGAAGGAAGAAAGTTGGATTGATATGGTAATAAATTAGGTATTAAATCACGGACAAAAAAAGAGGAGAGGTGGGCAAAAAAAGAGGAGAGGTAGTTGGATTGATATGGTAATTAAATTAGGCATTAATGTAGTTAATTTTATCTTTTAGGTAAATATACAATTAATTTAATGGATGTGGTATTGTTGCAATATTTTCAATATCTTGTAGGAGAGATGAAAATTCCCCTAGTTTAAAAATGTGTTTTTTGTTTGTTATCCTAGATACAAATTATGGTAACAAGCACAATTACATTTTTGGCACCTACATTCATTTGCACGGATTTTTTTATGTTCTTTTTCTTATAATATTTTTTAATATAATTTATTTGCATGGATGTGTTTAGTGCATTACGTTTGTTCTTATTTTTCTTTTTTCCCTGCATGGCCGCCTGCTGTGTTAATTTTGTGTCCGTAATTTTTTATTTTTTTTTTGTCTCATATCACATATTTACATGCGGTGAAGTTAATAACATGCCATTTCGTTTTTTTCCAGTTCGAATTTAGGAAAAGGTTTTTGCAATATCTTCTTCAAACCATTAATCATGCAAAAGTAGTACAAAAACATAAGGTTTCTAACCTCGTGACCCTGTTTCCTTCCTTTTTCCTTATTTGTCAATCAATCACACATTACCTGTAGGGGTGTTCATACATGCAGACAAAGTTTCACAATGGATAGGTTGTTTTGTGCAGCTTTTAAAGAAGAAAAACACATGCGAGATTCTTTTAACCATCACTCCCTTATTGACTATACAAGTGGCATGTAAAAGAGTTTTTTCTTAATATTTATTTCCTTTTGAGGGGATCCAATGTTTGTAGTTTCACGCTCAGACAAATTTTCTCTATAAAACCATAATACTTCCTCATGAGTCGATGCCTCGCCTTCACTTGTTCTTAATTTTCTCTTCCTCGGATCACGTCACTTTTCTTGTTTTTCTCTTTCACCGTTCAATCCAATCAAAATGCCTCGCCTTTCCATCCCTATAACGCAAGATGAATGTTTGTACGACAGTCGTTGGACAAAAGAGGCCGACAATCTTTTCGTTGATTTGCTAATAAAGTCGCATATTCTTGGGAAGTGGAATAATTGTCGTCCCTGGCGTGCAGTCTTCGATTATTGCTGCTCTATTTTCATTGGTGAGCTCGAGCTTCTTTATAGTCACGATGAATTTGATGAGAGATTCGACTTTCTTCAAAAGCGGTACCAAGTTTTTAGCTGGATGCTCGGAAAGCCCGATTTGCGTCACTGCGTTCAATCGAATATCCTGACTGCTCCGGTTGCCGTTTGGGACGATGTCTTCGAGGTACCGGTTCAGTTTATATTTTTTGTGTGCTGGTGACTCAGCTTTTTGCATTGACACACAATGATTTGATATTTAATTTTTTTCTAAATATTACATAATCCAAATGTTATACACGACTGAAATTTTTTTTTGAGTTATTTTAGTCCGACGCATTTAGCGTTGCTTATCAACATTCCGATGACCCACAGTGGGCGGACTTGCGTTTCATGTTCGAGGAGGTGTTCTCTACAAATCCAAGATCTGAAGTTGTTCATGACCGCAACTCTACAAACGAAGGTTTCTCTGCTCTTCCTGCTGCACGAACAAATGTGGTTTCGGTCCTTCCGGACAATTCGTATCACAATGCGTTGCAAACGCTTTGTAGTCGCAACAACGCTTCAACTCAACACGGTGGGATGCACGACGCCTCTTCTGAAAGCTCCGTGAACACGCATGCCTATGTCTTAATAAATAGGGCGGGGAGTCGAACCCCATTACGCATCCCACGTCCACCGCGCAAGCATAAGCCTGACCCGGCTTCATGCAAGGGTTCGACTAGCGATCCTCACGTTTGAAGTGTCACGCATGCTACTATTTAGAACCGGTTATGCGCTTAATTTATGTATTCCATGTGCTTTAGTGTTATGTGTGTATTGTGGTGTTTTTATGTACCTTGTTTGTTGACGTTTCTATGAACTATGCCTACCTAACATTCAATTGAAAATCTTTTATGTCTTTCATTTTGGAAAATGATTTTTTTTTGTTGGTTTTAGTGCACATGATTTGTTTTTGGCCAATTAAATCGGCCTTACAAATGGCAAGACTAATTTTTTCTAACAATACACATAACAGGCCCAACATTTTGGATACTATGAGACCTCAAACTTGGGAATAGTGTATTTTAAAATAGTGGTTCTTGAGAATAGTTACAATAAACATTTTGCCAAAGTAGAAAATATAAGATAAATATGTATAATTGGTTTAACCGAAAAAGACATGAGAAAAATAGTAATACTTAGATACCTAAACAACATACCTTTTAGTAATACCAAATAGTCCATAAGCATAAACACAAAACATACGGACTTTGACAATATAGTACATACAAAATGATGCCACTTACCCATACAACATAACCCATTCAACATAAAGAACTTGTAGACAGCAACAAAATACCAAAACGGACTTCAAGTCTGCACGGCCCATATACTAGTAATAAAGCCATTACATAAAGCAAAAACATAAAAAGACCTTCACTTAAATCTACTCTGAGTCAACGCAAGAACCGACATCTGTGTCGAGATCCATTTCATCCGGTGCCTCGTCCGATTCAATGTCAATGACCTCGACTGGGGCGGGTTCAGCCACGTACTCCTCCTCGTAATGTTCCTCCACTACCACGTCATCTTCAACTTCATGCACATTATTGGCGCCGTCATTCATGTGCTCTACCCCGGCGGCCCCAGCATCCTCCTCATTCCCAAATTCCAAGTCAGCAGCATCCGCACCGTCTGCCCCGTTGGGGTCATCCGCAACAACAATTTTCTCATCCGTGTCGTCAAACATGATGGGCTAATGGACTCTTTCACCGGGCTCCATCCGCACATCAGCTGCATCTCTAAGATCCCACAGCTCCACACACTCTTCGTACCATGAGAACCCAACATGACGGAAAAAGTACTCCAAATCCGTTTCCTGTGGAGTGAAAGTTGTCAAGTCAAAGTAAAAATAGAATATAAATTAGTAGGGACTCTACATTTGCCTACACAATGTATGTATGCATGAACCAAAGAATTTTATAGAAGCCTATGAATGTATACAATAATAAAGCACATGACTACATAAAACAAACCCGGCCGACATATGCCCAATACGTAGGAGTGACTGTGACAAGACCCGTTTCGGCATGCACGTCCACCCCGGGAGTCTTTAGAAACGTGAGGAACTCCCGGAAGTACGTGTGTAGAGCCTTGATCTTTGCCTTAACCTCGAGCACGGAGAAATAATGTAGCGTCTCTTCGGTTAATTGTATGGAGAAGTGGTGTCATATCGAGTTGAAGACGGCAGGCACGTTCACGTCGGGAGTTTCACGGCATATGTTGAAGAAAAGCCGGTAGCACAACCGTTCCTCATTCGATGACCAACCGGGCCGACGATACCTTGTCGCAATACGTAACATGCTTTCATGTCGATCCATTTGGTTAAGCTTACAATGAAGGAACCTGTAAAATAAAAGCAAATGAATTTAAATTTTCGGTTGCCGTGATGAGAAAATTCTTGCACTCGCATGTTCTATTTCTTTTACTTGCTATTGATTTTTTTTACCACAAAATAGAGTTGAACTCCTTAGCCAATTAACTCTTGCAAATAAATAGAGAGAAGTGACGGTGTGGTATACTTAATTTTGTTTGGTAGGTGTAATTGAATAAGACACTTAAATGTTGTTAATGATGGTGTATTACATTCAAACACCTCTTTTTTAATGAGGGCCATTGATTAAGGGATTGGAAGTTAGGTGGACGGTAGTTGCAGGTTTATTAATTTGGTTTCCACTAATTTAGTTTTGTACATGATGTGTAGATTCTATGAAATAAAGGAAGTACAAATGTAGTATTCTTCTCCTTTTTTGTGGGGAAAAATGGTGTGTGATGAAAAAGGGCCGAATAGAACAAAGTGCGGTTATCTGACGCATGAATATTTGTACACAAATTTATATCTCCAACAATTGAAATTTTGGGGGGTTTTGCTCTTCGCAGTATATCTCCAACAAAGTGCGAATATCTGACCTTTGTATAACTTTTTTTTTACCGATCGGATGGCTAATATCGGGGGTATTACCGGTCGGACAAAAAATATATATAAAATGTATATAAATACCGATGGCAATATGGGCGGTATTACCGGTCCGACACGTAATACGATGGTATTACTGGACTAGCAAACATAATGACTTATATAAATGTATATTTATTATATAATACAAACAAATCTAAAAAAGAAACAAAAAAAATTACCGTAATCATTAATTTGAAGTTCTGAATGCAATAAAAATATAACATGTAACTCCATATTTAAATTTTTTGTTTTGCTCTAAATAACTTTTATATAGTTTCTTTATATGAATTAATATGTTTTTATTATTCACCGGTATATTTTGACCGGTATTTACGGTTTGAAATCATTGTGTTCGGAAGTACCACTAACGGGAAAAAAAAAAGAACCGGGTTAAAAAGAGTTGGTAGTTTCGTAAGAAGTGTAATAGAAACCAAATTCGACATCCGACAATTGTACACACACTCGTGCATTGAACATCAATTCCACCCATTGAATAATATTTTCACAACCAGTAAAGTGGAAGGCACAAGTCCATACGCATAAATATGCCAAAAGATTGGGAGCATGAGTGGCAAAAATTATATTACAAATCCTAGTATGGTCATAACATAACAGAAGTCCAAAAGTAGGCCAAATTTCCGGGCCGTCCAAAATCAAAAGGCATAGTACGGGCAACATTAACAAAGGACAATACAAGGTCACCCAAGTTTTAGAGCATTCATCAATCCATATTATAATTTATTTTCGAGGATCATCTTCACCATAGAAGCTTTGTCCTCTTCGCCAATGCTAAAAAAAACGTCCATCTCTTCTTTGCTCCTACAAAAGTACTTTGTTACGATAAATTTTTGTTTCGTACTCAACATGAGAATAGACTTCAACGCCTCGTACAACTGTTTCTGTTGCTCCTTCGCATCGTGTTGGACCCCAATACGTTCCACCATTTGACCCCAACGTTGATCGGCTTTTTCGAATCAAGTAGACAGTAGGCCCACCACTTCCATCTGCGCTTATTTAACACGTTTACGTTTGCCTACCCGTTTACCCTTCCCCGATGCACTACTCTCAACACCCTGTGGCGGAGATGACTCAATTTCATTCTCATTGGATTCCAAGTCAACACCAACCCCGTCACGCCTTACATTTTGCGCGGGGGCATCGTCACCAGTATTACTTAGTACTTCTTGCACGGCATCTGCGAAACCTTCAGCCACTTCACCTGTGGCGCGGTACTTTCCAAAATGTCAACCCAATCACTGTAAAAGGGCCAAGACTTGTTGCGCAATCCCTTCCCTTTTGGGTACATCTGCATGCATACAATGGTTGGTTGTGTACAATTGACAAAATAAGAAATAGTTTACATAAGGGAACGGAGACAAAATATAGTGCAAATAGAGGAAATTTAGTTGATTATTATTGCAAACCTTGACATAATAGTTCCAGATGGGCTCTTCCACTTCTAGTATGTGGCCGGTTTCAGACCACCCAACACCAGAAGTGTTTTGTAGCAATGGTGCAAGTAAAACATAGTTTTTTTTCCATAGCGTAATCTTCGACGAGATGTGAGGCTCCGCTCTAATCGTAGTCCCCGGAAACTGTTGCTGCATATATTGTTCTAGAAACACTGTGTACCCCGAACGGATCCTGTTGTCGGCTTTCACTCCATGGGCAATGAGCTCCTTTAATCCTTGGATTAATGCACGTTCTTCTTCAAACGTCCATATTCGCCGTTGATTGTTTACGTTTGGCCCATGTCCCATGCTAGTTGTGGAGTCCATTTCTAGTAAATTTAAATACTAAATCATAATTAGTACAACATTTGTAACATACAAGAAGTAACGATAAATGGAAGAGAATGAACTTCAAAAATTAAAAAACACAATAAATTTGGGTGCTTCAAAGAAGAATGTATTTCCATATAAAAGTGTACGCAAGTACATTTCATAATGCATCAAAGTGCTCCACATAGACAACATAAACATTCGAATGAAATAAAACTAAAGGATCGAACATAAATTCAATTGTTGGCACGCAACTCATTGAACATAGACATAGCTAGTGTTTCCCTCCAAGTAGTCCACTCGTTAGTAGGCTCAACCACATCGACATAGTCATTTGGTGGGTGTAGTGGTTCCTCCATATTTGACTCCATTTCTAAAACATCATCCTCACCATCCATTGGATCAAAATTCATTGTAGTACGAATGAAGTGTGAAGAAGGCAACACGCCAAAATCACTCTATTTTGCGTGACTATGTAGAAAAAAGTTTTACTTCTACGGACGGCTCATCTCATCTTCAACACTCCAAAGGCCAGTTCAATTACGTTTCTTGCTCTAGCGTGTCTAAGGTTAAATAATTCCCTATGATTTTTAGGTGCTCGAGGGCCTTCACCGAACTCGTTCAAATGATACCGCACACCTCTAAATGGTGCTAGAAATCTCGGGTCATTTGTGTACCCACCATCGCAAAGATGGTAATTACCTGTGAAGCCAACAAACCGAAATAACTATTCAATAAACTTTCGAATTCAAAATTATAATTTAATGTCTATGAATCCTACTCAACATTATTTAAAGTTCATATCCACTTTACAAAAGTGTCTCACCCGTAGGAACACATAACCCATTATCTCGGCGTACCGCGTCCCTTAAAACTCTACTGTATTCGGCAGACCCCTCCCAACCGACCAAGGCGTAAGAAAAGTTCGTATCCACATCACATACGCCTAAGACGTTTACAGAAACACTACCCTTCCTATTTCGGTACTTCAAGTGCAAAGTACTAGGAACGCGTACCGGAACATATGTTCCATCTAATGCTCCCAAGCATCCTTGGATGGAAAAATTAAAAAAAAAGGACAATAATCAGAAAACATTACATGCGTTATCAATTTATTTCATTTGTTTATTATTTATTAAATACTAACCTTAAACCATTTCCATCTCCAATCATTGTTCGAATCCTGAACAGGTTTAGGTTTTACAACGACAAGCGGGTGTAAGCGTAGCACAGCTCTAAGGACTACATGGAAAATTTTGCTAATAGTTTGACCGGACCGCTTAAAATCATATTTAACAACTGCGTTTTTTTTTTATGATGGCTTAAAACACTCAAGAATATGGACACTTGCTCACTTATCTGCACATTTCGACTACTCTCTAGTTTACCAACATGCTCCAAGAGATAGCATAACCGACCGAATGCATTTTTGTCCATACGTAGTTGTTGGACACATACTCTGTCACTAATGCTTATAAGCTGCTGCATATGTTGCAGCTGCCTAGGTAGTCGATCGGACATTTTGAAGGAAGCCCGTCCATTTTGCTCTCGAATTCTAAGACGACGTTTTTTTTGCCTCACAATTTTCAGGTACAAAAGGCCAATCAAAAACACAATGGTCAATGTATTCATTATATCCTCAACAATCAAAAGAACTTCGACTTCATCTATTTCAATGTCCATGGCTACAACAATTAATAAATATTCATCGTTAAATGATATTGTTTTCAAGAATCGTTAAATGATATTGTTTTCATCGTTAAACGATCAAAAGAACCGCATTATCTGTATTTCAGTAATAATGGACAGCAATGCAAAAAACATCAAATTCCGGCACCACCAGTATGTGAACAGATGAAAACACACGAAAAAGGCTTTACGTTCATTCGGGAAAAATCTCATGTCAACATAACACAACAGATGGGAATATATATAATAGTCCATAATCACCTCAACAATATCAGAAATTTTGCACCCAAAGCTGTACAATTTAGAACGACAAATACACCCAAAAAATAAATGTAGCCCACAGTTACAAAAATACACCAAAAAATAAAAACAAAAATACACCCATTCCATTACCGTGCTCCAGCAAAAAGGGCTCTGATGTGGAAGGCGCCCTCATTTTTTCTCGACCTCGTGTTGTACACTTCACAACCTAAGCACAAATCGGAAAATATTATTACGGAAAAGTAAATTAAAGATAACAAAAAAAACCCAATTAACTAACATATAAATTACGGAAAAAAAAAAAACNCAAAAAAAAAAAAAGAAAAAATAGAGGGAGATCTCATGTCAGTGCACGGGAGATACAGAGGAAACCAACAACTTCACCCGAACAGGCGATTTCACAAGCAGATCTAGATTTCAAGAAGCGCGGCCGGGGAACGAAGTTCTTCACTGCAATAGAAGGTCAATTAATGTCCATTGTTGCCTTTATGTACATGGTAGTGGCATGCTGTATTTTCTCTGTTGACGGGGGGGACTTTAGTCCGAAAAAATCACTTTTAGGGGTAAATGAGACATTGTCAATTCTTCAACTGTTGGGACTTGTCCAAATCGCACCCCCCTAGGCCAGACCAATTAATCAGCCGAAAGCAGAATTTTTCTACTGTTCATCGCGGGCCTCGTCATATCTCACGGGCCGTAATCATGGTTATCAAACGCCGATTTTTGGCCTGATAATCACCCTAATCTTGTCCTGTGACCCTTAACAAACATGCCCTTACTATATTTTTTGCACTCCTGATGATGTCATTCATATACAACGGTATTCGGTTTTCAAAAATGAATAAATTGAAAATATGGAATTTTTTTTTCTTGAAACGATAGATAGAGCTATATTGAAACTCAAACGCAGACAATGTCTGAATACAGGAAAAACTCCCAAATAAAACCGCAAATACAAACTGAGAGACACGCATGTGAAGCGATCTAGAACCTCAACCAACCGAAAGAAAATAAAACAACAGAAGAAACTACAATCTTACCACTGCCAAGCTTGCCTAGTTAGGTACATAGTCCCTTATAAGATCACAATCAAAATATAAAACAGCTAAATGGAGAAAAATGTAATCCAGTCCTTGTGCGCCGCATTGATCATCACATGAACTGGAATGTGAAGATTTTGAAAAACTCATAGGTTTCGAGATTTCCAAAGCCACCATAAGAGGTAGGTGGATAACTATACATTATCCTTAAATATTTTTACCTAGGAATTACTTACAAATTCAAATAGCTAGAAATTGGCCACATTTTTTTACTACAAATTTTCAATAACTAGATATTGCCTACAAATTATTACTAACAATTACCTAGAAAGTACCTACAAAGTTTAAATAGTTAGACATTCCCTACAAAGTATTACTTTATATTACCTACAAATTACCTTCAGATGTGAATCGCTAGACATTACCTACATACATTACTATTATTTCACTACAAATTACCTACAAATTTTAAATAGTTAGACATTACCTACATACTATTATTATCAACTACCTACAAAATTACAAATTACCTACAAGTTTTCTTGAGTCTAGGTATTTTGTAGGTAATTAGCTAGAGATTACCTACAAAATTTAAATAGCAAGAGATTAGATACATACAATTACTTACAAATTTTAAAGAGCTTCATATTTGTTACAAATGATTAATTTTTAAAAAATAAATATATTTCAATTCAAAAATTACCTACTAAAATCAAATAAAAAAATGACAAATAACAATAATATACACCATATTTTCAAAGTAAATTACCTTAAGATGTGAATTCCAATAGTCTCACAACTATATCCAAAATAACTGATGTCATAAGCCAACATGATAGTATCAAACAAGTATAAATCCATCCTCCAAAACATAACACTCACATCCAAAAAATGATAATAATAAGTAAAAGTATCAAACAAACAATAAAATCATTCTAATTATCATTTAGCCTCGTCTCACCACCACTTTGAGATGTGCTCCCGCTAGACATCATCATCTCAAAACGTTTTTCAAAAGTCTTGTTGTTGCAACTCATCCAACTTCACATGCACTTCAGCTCACCTTTCAACCCTACCTTCCTCTCGAACGCCCTCCAACTCAGTCTGGGACCAATAGGAAAACTGTTCCAAAGAGGTCTTCAATCATAAGATTATTAAAATCAATAAATCTAACAACGTTACAAAAATAATTTGCGAATAAAATAAAAATGAAGAAAACAACTTAGGTAAATTCTAACTGCCTTGAACATCAATATAAACCAATATGTGGGCCGACCTACATAAGTTAAAAGGCTGATCTAGCATGTACAGTAAATATGATCCCCAAACAAACTAAAAAAAAAAAAATTAACCCCATAAATAATATATTTCTTCAATTATTATATTCACCACCCTAAATGATATATTTCTTCAACTATTAAATACTTGCATAACCATCACTTACGCAACAAAAACAGATTTGCAATCACCAACAAAATTTTAACAAAAAACTTCAATGGACAGAAAATACAGATATTCCACAAACTCAAACACCCCATAAATAATATCATAAACAAATAAACTGAAACACTAAAAATCACCACAAAATTCAAATTCTAAGCGCCAGCAAAATCACTTGAATGGGAATAAAAAGATAAAACAAAGAAAAGTGAAGCTACCTGTGTTGTGCCATAACTCTCGATACCATATAGGCGTCGTTTTTTACAAGTTTCTCTAACGGCTATGATATAAAGCTCGTCGATCCTTTTATTGCTTTGTTCTTCTTCTATTTTCGAGTCGGCAGTCCATGACGGATCATTTGTATTAGAATATAATACGACTTGTGAGTTGTCCCACATTGTTTATAGAAAGAAAATAGACCAACTTATAAGACTAGTGGACTACTATTTCTTTCACCAATTGGTTTTGGGATGGAACCTCACTTGGGCTTCATGGTGCGCTTCACGTGCGTGGGACCGCACCCGTATCCCCCCGTTTCTTACATAGTATGAAAGTCGATTCTACGTGGGACCATGCGATGACGTACCCGTTACCCAGCCCAGTTGGGCTTGGGGCTCGTATGAAGGACTCACAAGTGATGGGACCGTGCGACGACGTACCCGTTACCCAGCCTAGTTGGACTTGGGGCTCGTATGAAGGACTCACAAGTGAGGGGACGTATTAGAATATAATACCATTTGTGAGTTATCCCACATCGTCTATACAGAAAAAATAGACCCAACTTATAAAACTAGTGGGCTACTCCTCCTTTCACCAATTGGTTTTGGGATGGAACCTCACTTGGGCTTCATCTGGGCTCACCCTTTTATGGTGCACTTCACGTGCGTGGGACCGAACCTGTATACCCCCGTTTCTTACAATTTGAAATAAGAGACTCCAGCTCCAACTAAAGAAAATGAAATGCAAGTTGAGATATTAAAAAAGAAAACAAGCAGATGAATACTTGAATATAGAAGTAGTTTATGACTTACAACAACATTCTCGGACCTACTGCCTGCCCACTTTCCTTTGCCTTATTCCAGTGTAATTATTTATATACCTCATAATGGGTAGGTTTTCTTCCCAATTTTTGAGTATCAACAACAATAAGTTTCTTTAATGTAGATGAAAAAGAATTACGACTATAACAAAATAAGTTTCTTTAATGCACATGTAAATATTTACCAACTCTTGCACATGATTATCTGCCGACTTGGACCCTCCACTGTGGACAAACATTCCTGAACCGGGTGCATTTACCTCAGTCCGACGGTTAGCCGACCTTTTTCTACATACCTCCTTGAATTCCGTTTTATTCCACTCTTTCCAATAGGCAACCCAAGTCGATTTTTGCAAAGAGGGTGGTTGTTTCTTTTTGTTTTCCTCAAAATACTCGTAAACTCAGAATACCGATACCCGACACATCTCAGCCAAACTTTATATACATTTATCTCATTATCAGGTGAAAAAGAGAAGGATTTCTGCAATTAAGTATTATAAAGAAATTTACATTTCTTAATACAATACACTAAATGCAATACTAACAATAAGAAGAAATGAACCAATACACTTTCTTCCATTCTCTTTTCTCGTGGCAAGATTACACAACACAATATAGAGTAACTCAATTGCAATCTCTGCAAAAGCTAAAAAGTGAGTTACCACATAACACAATACTGAAACACACAAAATTAAACCCAATCATAAAGTTCAATCATTGTATAATTAAGGAAATGTCGAACGGAGTCTACTCGTGATCCATCACCGGTTTCAGAGCTCTCCTTAATCTCTCCAAACTCGCGAAGCTGCTTTCGTTAACGTTACTGCCTAAACGGACCCACAAAACAATCTTTGTCCTCCCACCAACCGTCGACATCTCGGCCCGAACCACCTTTGCCGCCACCGAGTCCAGGGCCCGAATCAAGCCCGACATCAAATCGGGCCTGTCCTCGCAACACACTGTTGCCTGAATCAGGCCCGAATCGTAGCAGACTTTGAGCTCGTCTGTTTCGCTCGGGATTACAAACGAATCATTAAGAGTTATTTGGTGCATGATTTTTTTCTTCAATTCTCGTACTGTTCGGACAGCCTCTCCTAGTAAAGAAGCTTTGTCCGTCTGCAGTTAAAAAAAAACACAGACACACACACAAATTTAAATTACTTCATTTATTTATAACAAAATTAATTAAAGTAAGTCGAATTACGCGCATGCAGACGTACGTACCTTGATTGCATTTGGGAGAAGAGATTTGAGAGTGGCGATGTGGCTATTGATACGCTTTCTTCTTCGCCTTTCGGCTTCCTTATGGCTATGGCTTGCGGCGGCCGATGCTTTTGCCTCGTCAGCTGGTGAATTACCAAAAACTCCCTCGACAATGTCGTCATAAGAGTAGTCTGAACAGCTCCCCACTTCATACTTATAATAATTATTGGGTATGTTATTGAAGGAAAACATCTTTTCTTATCTAAACTACTGCAAATTATTACACTGTTTGAATTAACACACCATTAGCAGAAAATTATAAATGCACCAACAGATTTGTGAAGTTTTTGCATGGACCGATATTGCATATGTCAACTAGGTAAGGTTTTTTGCGTGGACAAACTTACTTGTTAATTAAAATTAAGTAGCAAATCTAACATTTTTATAGTGAAGAGAGGACAATTGTTACAAAGACACACACACAAACACACACATCTTTAAATTCGGATTAAAAAAATTGCACGTTTTGATATTTTTGTAAGCATCTGACTAGTCTATGCATGTGATCAGCAAAATCACTTCACAGACCAGGAATATTCAATAAAAAAATATGATTTTATTTCGCTTGTTTGATTATTTTAAAGAGAAAAATTGTAGACCAATTTAAAAAGAGCTTTTTTCATTTATAATAATATATGTGAAGTTTTAGATTTTTAATTTATAAATGTTAAGCAGCATGTCCTACTGTGGTGGGAGGACCGAAAAGGAGAGGATTTTAAGGAAAATTCTGTTGTTTTTGAGGATTGGATAAGTCTTCCTGGTCAAGAGAACAAATATAAATTGCTTATTTTTGTGGATAGATTTGCTGTTTATAACAAATTGTTGATTGTTTTGTCAACTTTTGAATTTTAGCTAGTCTGTCTGAGAGTACCCACAATGTTTTGGGTCTCTTTTTGCATATGTGTAAAACAAATAGACTTAAGTCTATAATGATATGGACAAACTCAAGCTAAAAAATCTAAAATCTATCCAATGCAAAAAAAAGTACTAGGTCTAGAATACTTAACAACCAATAAAAATATAATAATAGTAAATGATTACTATTGTAAGGTTCACACTTGGGTCCAAAATAGACCCAAGAGTGGGCTTGGTCTCTTTTTTTTATTGTCACATAAGCTATACTAGGTCCACTTTTATTTGCATTGTGAAATACTTTTTTATAGACTATGTCTATTTCTTACATGACATGTGATTTTTTTGTAAGAGACCCAAAGCATTGTGGGCGCTCTTAGGTAACTTTTTAAAAACGAACTAATTGCTGATACTTCGTAAAGACAACTCCTCCCTCCTTATTTATATGCAGATTTTTGGAACCTAAGTGTCAATTTTGTGTATTTGATAGGGATCTGTTAAATAACTCTGGTTTGATGTCACCGATCTTCTTAAGATCTCTAAATCGGCCAGACTCGCCCAATGGAATACCTGAAAAAGCGTCGGGAGGTTTCTCGATGACGTAAACTCTCCGACGATCAAGTCATTTTTTCTCTCAATACGGAAAGATGTGTGTGATTATAATTGATATGAATATAAGAGAAATCAAAACCTTCTATATGGCCATAGCTCACTCTTTATATATGAAAATAGTTACTTGTTGCTCAAGAATACCAAGCTACCCCAAAAATATCTTACTTTGTTGCCAAAAAATATCTTATCTTGTTGCCGAAGACTACCTTGTTTCCCAAGAGCACCTTACCTACTTTAGTTCGGCCAAAAGTCTTCCCATTGAGTAGTTCAACTTCCCTACTCTACTAGCTCGACCAACAGGCAGGTAGTAGGTCGTGGAGTCGATCTAACGTTTATGGAGAGATTAACCCGACATAATCAACTTGACCAACTCTGACTTAGATTGAGTCGGGGGTTGCTCCGGTCTAGAGCCGAGTTGTCCATACTATGTCTACTCTCCCCTATTTATAAGAACACGAGCTCTAACACATGTGGTCATGAATAAATATCTCGAAGTGGGTCCGTCGAGCATTAAATGCAAATTCAAGGATCATGCTACCAACATTAAATGCAGCAGGTGCTGGCGTGAAGCACACTTAAATGCAGACATCTTTTCGTGCATTGAGGCAAAATACTCGAGTGCCTATGATGTTTCACATATCGAGGCTTTACAGTAGATTTACGCTGAGGTGGGACCTAGATCGAACGATGCTTGGCCAACCGACCTTGGATGCTATAGGTGTAACCGTCGATCTGACATCCCTATGTGACCGACCTTTGACCTAGCTTTTTTCTTCATCTATAAAAGGATGTCTCCTTCTCCATTTTCCCTTTCTGCGCTCCCAACAAACTTAGGCATTTATACACTTTTGTATATTTGACACACTTACCTTTCCCTTGACTTGCACAAACATCTGGAGCTCGACATCAAACAAGATATATGTATGTCCTTCTAACTTTCCCCCTTCTTCTTCCCTTCTTTTGCTCTCCCTTTTTTTTATAATCTCCATTCATCGATCTAACTCTTTGTCTGTTCATCCTCTCCCTCTCTCTCTCCCTCTCTCTCTCTCTCTCTCTCTCTCTCTCTCTCCTTTCTTTTCTTAACAATATCTCAAAATTCGGCCACGGACAGTAGTATAAACCAAAACAAAATCCTGAATAAATCTTCTTCTACTCTAGAAACACTTGACCTCCCTTTTAAACCGTTAGCCAAAATCTATTATTTCGAGTTGGTTGACAATCCTGAAGGTAAAATCAGTTGGAGCGAGCTGGAAAATTACCATCTACCATAGACAAACCTGAGGATACATCCTGACCTCCCACACCACCACCACCACCACCACCACCACCCCCCTCCCCCTCCTCAGCTCCCCCGTACGACTGACCGTGGACAACCAACCTTTGTATATATACCCTATTTGAAGAACAATTAAAGGGTGTTGAAACTCCATTCATTCACCGCATTCAAGCTTCAATTGTGATTCAAGTCTTTTGCTATTTTTCGTTTTTGTTCACAATTCAGTGCTATGATGTTCTTACAGCATCTGAACACTGAAGTTGTTCTTGTGTTAGTTTTTGTTTTATTTCATTGAAACACTTTTTGATCTGAACCAAGTTTTGCTCGAGGGATCGAGAGTAGTTATAAGTTCACGAGACGTGTCCAGAGAAGTAGTTGGTAGATTCGAACGTAGTTGAGGCTAAGCTAGAAGGGAGTTCTAGCTGTCATAAGTCCAAAACTATGTACGTGTGCACAATCGAGTTATCGATGAAAGAGCTCTGAGGATTAGTGGGACGCTCCCTGAAGAGTTTTTATATTTGTTGTGCTTCCGCTATTTCTACTATTCTTGTGTGGTTTCTTAAATTGTTACAATTCGTGTTCTTACACAAGTTGCGTGTTCTAAAACTCTAAGGCTCCGTTTGTTTTGAGGGATTTATTGAGGGATTTGAAATCCATAGATTTCAAATTTACAAGTTCAAATGCTCATGCATGTTGGGATGATAATGAAAGTTGGAGGATTTCAAATTCATGCTAGATGTTTTTTAGTCATTATTTTGAAGGATTTGAAATGACTCATAAAACCTAGTCATTTGAAATCCACTGTTTGTCACCGTTGACAACCACGCCGTCCGCGATTATTTAGGTTCATCACCACCGCGAGTCAACACCATCGGTGCGAACTAGACAATTTATTTATAATATTTTCAACACATCCATTCAATGAGTGTGCAAGTAAAAAAAATTGTATTTCAAAAAATTTGAAATTAAGGGATTTTAAATCCCTCAAAACAAACGGAGCCTAATAGTATACATTTCACCGTGTAATGCACGGGTGTTGTACTAGTGAGTCATTATGATATCAAAATAGAAGTATCCATAAGTCCATAACTCATTAATTCTTATGTGAAAAATCATATCCTAGAATATGCAATGTATGTACCTATAACTATATTGACCTTCTCACTGAGGAAGGTTGTAGCTACACTGGTTTGCGGTCTAAAAGACTCATGGCGCTTCGTTTGTTGGGGTTTTGTGGGTGGTTGAATCAAAATAATTTTTCTTTAAAGTTCTAGTTTTTCGGGGGACACGAACCGCTGATTATAGGGAAACCTTTTTCACGAATGAATCAAAGAATAGGACGTTTTAATAAAAGGTCGCAATTGAACAGATCGAGCAAGCTCAAATTGACGTCTTCACATTGCAATTAATATGAAAAGACGAAAATTACAATTGCAGATAATAAGATAATATATGCGAGTAAAAGGTGATGAATAACAATTGACAAGTGAAATATATGGAGATGGGATTAATCAACCATCAGTTGTGTTTTATAATTGAGCGTGACACGAGAACGGACAATCAACCTCATCATGACGGGTATATCCTTGTAACATAACGAACATGAGTAAGTGTTTATTATAATTGCTCATCAATGTCTTCAAGTATGTGATGTTGGACTTTGTTGCCCAAATTAAATTAACACACATTACTAAATTCCATTCGAATATCAAGAAGAAAGACTTGCTCTATTTCCCCCCCTTTTTTATCGTGCAGTTTGATGCATGCGGATGAAAAATAATAAAGAAAATCACATTTTAATTAATTATCACTGTTAATATGTGTTTAATAGGGGTCGCAAGAAAAGGAACAACTTTTATGTCTGTTTCCCACCTGCAGCCATTGACAACCTTCCGTGTCTCTCGTCATTCGATTAATTACCAGACTTGGTCAAAGTTGGAATTGTTTTTTTATTTTTTCTTCTCATTTTTTATGTATTTTAGTTTTGCTTCTCTTTATTGACAAACTAGTGTGTACCTCGTGCGATGCACAGAAACAATATTAAATCAACAATACTATAAATAGACCTCGAGTTTGAGTCATATTTAAAAAGATGAAGAAAAAAATAATTATAAATTAAAGAGGAGGATAAACAATACTTAATAATTATAAATTAAAGATTCGGGGTCAAACAATGTAAAATTATTTTGTATAAGAGAATATAAAATTTGCATTATTTTGTATAAGAGAATATAAAATTTGGATGTTTAATATTAAAACGCCTAAAATATTATATTAGTATATGTAAAAGTATTCAAAATGTTCTATATTATTTTTGAAATAAGTGAAGTCACCTACAATTTTTCTAAACAATTTTAGAAGGAAAACATATCTAAAAACATTTGAATTTAACATTGTGTAAAAAAGTTTTTTCTAAACTAAAGAAAACATGTCTACAAATATTTAAATTTAACATCAATTATGTATATGTGTGTGTATATATATATATACATACATATATATAGACGAATATGTAAAAAAATGTCTAAACAATTTGTTTAAAGTATCTAAAATATTTTAAGCCTAATTTAATAAAGACATTCAATGCGTTATTCCATCTAACAAAATTTAATTACACACAATTTCAAAATTATTACTATACTTTTTACGTTGTTATCGAGTATGTATTGTTAGTTTATAATATATGTAAAAATAGTAATTAGACCTTTGATTACACACAATTTCAAAATTATTACTATACTTTTTACGTTGTTATCGAGTATGTATTGTTAGTTTATAATATATGTAAAAATAGTTATTTAGACCATGAAAATTAGCAGCGCCCGACGAGTCGTGTTTTATTTTTTATGTAATGGGATTTTGTAACATATAAGAGATAAACTCGTGTAGATTTATGCTATGAATAAACTTTGAACAGATTGGAATTTGCATACCTAAAAAATAGGAAAAAGAAAAAGATATATACACAATTAAGCTACCGATTTTTTTGTAAAAGAAATACTAATATTTACTGTCACCGTTTTGAGTACCAAAAAAAACAGGAAAAAGAAAAACAGATATATACACAATTAAGCTGCCGATTTTTTTTCCTTATCAAAATTGTCCAACAATAACTATATATAGGATACATTTAATGATAATGGCGGGAAAACCTTTCTAAATTTGTAAAAATGTTATTCTTTTTATATAATGATAGATTAAGGGTTTTTTTTTCTTGAAAATTAATGGATTTTGATTTTACCAAATATAAGGTAAGGATTTTGGATTTGTTGCAAATTGATATTTTCAAAAGTTGAACGTTTAAAGAATTATTTGTACCATAATTAAGCAATTTGGTTACCAAAATATCAGGATACTAATAGATTGATGTCTCATATTTTAAACCTCATTTGCACGTGTTTCAAACAAATTAATCAAATAGATTACCTGAAAAAAAGGATCATAATATTCGCAAACAANTCAATAACAATACTAGTTGTAACCCTTGTGATCTACTGGACAATATTAATAAATTATAAAAATTAAAGCAATAAAAAAAATTGATTAATATAAAATTAGTTTTGAATAATAATATTAATTTATGCCTTTTATTTTATTTTTATGATATATACTAGTTTAATATATAATTAATATGTGTATTTTATCCATTACAAAATAATTGTCATTCTAGAGTTTTTGTCTAGAATTAAATAAATGAAAATTTAACATATTCAAACACTAGCAATCAATAATACTCACAAAAATATTTATCTCTATCTTCCCTTACCAATACATTATTATAATATACTCGTATCCGATATGCAACTGACTGAACAAGACATATGGCGCTTTGCTTAAGACCGGAATGCTACCCCCGCTCGAACTCAAGAACACTTTTACCCGTGTACATGCACGGGCGAAGTTAATTTAATTATATTAAATATTGCACAAAATTTAAATTTAATAATATAAATAAAAATTAAAATAAAGTATTACTTATTATAAATATTTTGTTGTGCATAACAATATTATATATATATACTAGTTGGCCAGATGGATGTGCACGCACAGCCAACTCTAGTCCAGTCTATAATTATTACCAATATTTGTCAAAATTTTAAAATACACAATAATATATTTGTAACTTAATTTCATCAGACTAGGTTATACACATCTATATTGAATGTTTGAATACAAACCTCGGCTACGCCTTTACTCAGTGTTCGAATGGTGCCTTCGACATCATCACAATAGTACAAAACTCAACGAATTTTGTACGTATGCCATGCTAGGCGCTATCGTCAACAGAAAACTGGTTTGTTCGATAAAATTAATCAGTTTTACTAACACCTAGAACACTCACTTGAAATGCGGAAAACAAATTTGATAGTTTTCATAGATCATCAAAACGACATTCACAGATGTTCAAGCAATTTGTAATACAACACAGTAAAGAAACACCACATAGGCTTATAATCCACTTCCATAAGGGGGAATTACACACATCGATATTGAACATCTGAAACAAACCTCGACAATGCATTTGCTCAACATTTCTGTGGTGCCTTCGACATCATAGCAATAGTACAAATTCAACAGGTTATGTATGTATCCCATGCTAGGCGGTATCGTCAACAGAAAACTAATTTGTTGAATTATATCCACATTTCTGTGGTGCCTTCGCGGAGCACTTTTCTCAAGAAAATAAATCCACATAACCTAATTCTCTAATCATGCAAAAAATTCCGAGAGTTAAAATNAAAAAAAAAAAAAAAACAATTTTCAGCCACCAACCCACAAGAATACCCACGAGTTTTGCACCATCTCTTGTGCCGCAAGATTTCCAGCATCTCCTCCGCCGTCGTGAGCCACCCACCATCCAGGTCTTATATTTGTCTGCCTCTGCGAGCTCTCCGCGAGCTTTGATGCCTAATTTCTCTTCTACATCTCCGCCGACCGATTTCTCCACTGCCCAATTTCTCTTTCATTGAGCTCTCCACCATCTCCCTTCGTCTTCTCATTTGTACATTTTGCCACGCACAATGAACATGTAGCCAGAAAACCACCAGAATTCGATCACCTCTGTTGAGTAAATAAAACACCCAAGCAAAACACTCATCAGAACAGAAAAACACTTCAGAACATAAAATTCACATCAACTTATCATCATGAACACAACCCCCCAGAAGAACTCTTAAATCGTTCCAAAAGCAACCGGTACTTAAATTTCAAATCCCAAAAAATTATTAAAATTTCAAAACGATCGACCATCTTCACCTCCTACACGAACTTATTCAGCTTCTTGGCTTTGTTCATCTCCTCCACAAATCCTGTATTCATGAATTTCCAAATAATCACAAAACTGAAAACGTCGTCGTTCTACACTTTTTACAGCGATGGGAGGGGAAATTAACTCACGGCATTAGACGGCTGTGGACGGGCTGCTCCAAGATGATACGCGGCGAGGCAGAGCTGAGAAAAAAAAACAACCTGCGAATTGTGAACTAACGTCTGTGAGGCGTCGGCGAGGATTTGTGGCCTTGCATCAAACCATAACAGAAAAAAAAAATTATGGGTCAAACCATGAACTAAAACTAATCAATTTATAAAACTAGTCATGTTTTAAGATTTCAGAAATTTGATTTGTACCCTCTAACCGTGCTCCACCTGAAAAATCCTTTCCAGCTTCTCTGTCACCAACTCACCATCTTCCTTCTCGGGCCAACAAGGTCTTCTCCATATGGATCCACACATTTCAATTGTCATTTTCTGAGCATAATATTCGTACCACCCAAACTTAGAATGCAGACTCTCAACATGAAATTAAAGATAGAATATTATAAGTATTAAAATTATTTATAAAAAAAAATGCTAATCCATAGAAACCCTAACCCATCAACGCGAATAGTTTTGGCTAAATTGTAAAAGTATTAAAATCATTATATAACTCAGCTTAAAATTAGGATTGAGATTCCGGCGGAGAGGCTTAAGATTCCGTCTAAGAGAATCGGGATTCCGACAAGTATAGTAACCCCCATGAAATCCTTCGATCCGCCTAGATTGTGACCCGTCGTTGATGTTGTCGGGCTCCAACAACCAGAGTATGCACTCCGACCTGCCCCTCTCTTACTAACATGAAAAATAAATATACTTGACTGCAAATATTTTCTTTTGTAAATATGGAAATTCTTGAGTTTTGGCCTAATAGTAAAAGGCTAATAAATAACATCTGCAACTGTATTAGTATTTTGAATAAAGTTTTAGGTACACATGTAAAGAAAGAAAGAAAGCAAGTCTAGGTTGGAAGGGAAGTCATAACAAAATAGACATTATCGAGCTGACCCACTGCATGCGTTGCCTGAATAGCATGAGGTGAATTCCAATGCCCCAGTTTCAATCGGAATAAGAAACTCCAACAGTCAAGCTTAATTATGCCCATAAATTCAAAACTAAACCATACCAAGTGGCAGATTCAGCAAAATAGTTTGACACCTTCAGCAAAAAACCCAACCTCTTAAATAAGAGAACCTCAGCGAGTCGTCGAGCTCCAAAAGTAGTTATCTGAAATTAGATTGTAACCCTTATATAGTAAAAAAATCGTGAATTCTGTGAAACAACATATGGAAAAGCGACATAACAAACCACAAGCAGCCCTGAAGCTTCTGGAACTCTCGTGTCAATTGAATGCGTTCTTGAACATTATCAGATGAAACAAAGTCCACCCCTACTTTAGTGCATGACTGGAAAATTTCCAACAACAACAACAACATAGCCTTTAGTCCCAAACAAGTCGGGGTAGGCTAGAGATGAAACCCAAGAGAAACACAAAAAGACTCGAACCAAAAGGAAGAGATCGAAAAAAAAAAAAAAAAAGGAAAAAAAAAAGAGAGAGAGAGAGAGAGAAAGGAGCAAAAGTCACGGTTCTGCCACGTTGATAGCGAGCCTCCAAGCGCTCCTATCCACCGTTAAATCCTTGGATATATTCCAATCTTTAAGGTCTCTCTTAACCGACTCTTTCCAAGTGAGTTTAGGCCGACCTCTGCCTCTCTTAACATCCTCGGCCCGCTGTAGAACTCCCCTTCGCACCGGTGCATCAGGAGGCCTCCGTTGGACATGTCCGAACCACCTCAGCCGATGTTGAACCAATTTCTCCTCAATTGGGGCCACCCCGACCCTATCTCGAATATCCTCATTCCGGATTCTATTCCTTCTTGTGTGCCCACAGAACCAACGCAACATATGCATCTCTGCTACACTTAGTTGTTGGACATGTTGCCTTTTTGTAGGCCAACATTCAGCACCGTATAGCATCGCCATCCTATAGAACTTACCTTTTAGCCTTTGAGGCACCCTCTTATCATAGAGAACGCCCGACGCCTGACGCCATTTCAACCAACCGGCTGCAATTCTATGCCTAACATCAGCATCAATGCCGCCATCCTTTTGTAGCATCGATTCCAAAAGTCTCCTTCTTGGCCACCACTTGCCCGTCAAGGGTAACGTCACCATCATCATGTGAAGCCATGCTGAAAGCGCACGTCATGTACTCGGTCTTCGTCCTACTAAGTCTGAAGCCTTTCGACTCTAACGCGTCCTTCCACAGCTCCAACTTCCTATTTACCCCTGCTCTACTCTCGTCAACTAGCACCACATCATCAGCAAAGAGCATACACCAAGGGATATCACCTTGTATGTCCCTTGTGACCTCGTCCATCACCAAGGCAAATAGATAAGGGCTCAATGCTGACCCCTGGTGTAGTCCTATTTTAATTGGGAAGTCGCTGGTGTCGCCCCCACATGTTCGGACACACGTCATCGCATCCTTGTACATATCCTTAATGAGGGTAATGTACTTAGATGGGACTTTGTGCTTTTCTAAGGCCCACCACATGACATTTCTCGGAACTCTGTCATAAGCCTTCTCAAGGTCGATAAAGACCATGTGCAAGTCCTTCTTTTGGTCCCTATATCTCTCCGTCAGCTGACGTATTAGGAAAATCGCCTGCATGGTCGACCTTCCAGGCATGAACCCAAATTGGTTTTGGGTCACACTCGTCACTCGTCGTAGGCGATGCTCGATAACCCTCTCCCAGAGCTTCATCGTATGGCTCATCAACTTAATCCCACGGTAGTTACCACAGCTTTGAACATCTCCCTTGTTCTTGAATATCGGTACTAAAGTACTTCTCTTCCATTCATCAGGCATCTTGTTTGACCGGAAAATGAGGTTAAAAAGTTTAGTTAGCCATGCTAACGCTCTGGCGCCCAAGCATCTCCACACCTCAATGGGGATACCATCAGGGCCCATTGCTTTACCTCCCTTCATCCTCTTCATAGCCTCTCCGATCTCTGCCTTCCGAATTCTTCTCACCATGCATCTATTGGTATCCTCAAATGAGTCATCCAACTCCAGGGTAGGACCCTCACTCTCTCTATTAAACAATTTGTCGAAGTACTCTCGCCATCTGTCCTTGATCTCCCCATCCTTCACCAGTGGCCGATCCGACCCATCCTTAATGCATTTGATTTGGTTGATGTCCCTAGTCTTCCTCTCCCAAATCTTAGCCATCCTATAAATGTCCTTCTCCCCCTCCTTCGTGCCTAGGCACTGATAAAGGTCATCATAGGCCTGACCCTTCGCTACACTCACGGCACGCTTTGCATCCCTTCTCGCTATTTTATAGCTCTCAATGTTGGTTGCACTCTTGTCAAGGTGGAGGCGCTTGAAACACTACTTCTTCTCCTGAATGGCCCTTTGCACCTCGTCATTCCACCACCAAGAGTCCTTCGCTTCCTGCTTGCCTCCCCTACTCACACCAAGGACTTCTGCAGCCACCTTTCGTACACATGTTGTCATCTTTAGCCACATGTCCTCTACATCTTCTCCTTCTTCCCAAGTCCCCTCACATGACTGGAAAATTTCCAGATAGCAAAATTTCAAAATACAAAAATAAATGCAGTGATTAAATTATAATACATGTGAATAAGTTATATATATTGATGTAAAAGATCTGTGAAACAGAGTGACTGAAATTATAAGAATAATTACAGAATGATCATCCATTCAAGCATTGCCAAAGTGCACACCTAAAACATTTATCAACTCATAAAGTATACTTTTCTCTATAAAAGAAGAAGAAAAATTTTAAAACGGAATCTCTAACATCTACAACTTTATCCTAGAGCTCACTTGTCTATTTCTCACTTGATGAGGACAGCCAGCAGGAATGAACACAGCCTGAGCAAGATGTTTCTCAAATGTCCAAGTTTCAACGTTTAATTCAAAGATAATAAGATTTCTTGCAAATTCACTGATTGAATAATTATTTACATACACAATTATGCAGGGATAAATAAATAAAATAAAAAAAGCTTACCAAATTCCTCCCTCAATTGTTCTTTGTGCTTCTCATCCAAACAAAACACGTGGTCATGGATAGGATGCACAACCTATAGCAAAAGTAGAAAAACCAACAAAAGCTCAATTGTATTTTTCCTTCGGAAAAATAGTATGTGAGAAAGTAAGTTTCATGGACTACATTTATTCAGTAACATCAAAAAAATTACAATTGGCATTGTTAAGCTCATAAGAACACCTCAAGAAAATATGCATACCTAAATAGCAAAGGAATAGAAAATTGAACTGAAGAAAACTTACCAATGGGGTTCACAGTCGTGCATCTCTCAGTTGGCGTCGCCGATCTCTGCCATGCGGACTTCACCGGCCGTCAAACACAGTGCCGCTCGATGCTCTCAGTCGCCGGCCCGCCGCAGATCTAAGATGCCACCTAATCAGAGCCGCCGGCCACCGCGTCGCTCAAACGCCACCAGCCCGAAACCTTCGGCTGTCTCCGGCTATGAGCGCGGTCAGCTGAACTCAGCCGCTGTCACCGTTTTGGGTGTCAAGAGAAGAAATAATTTAAAGAGACGATGAAAAAGGGTTCAATTCCATTGAGAGTGCGGCGACGGCGGTGAGTTGGAGAAAATTATGTTTGGGTAGGGTTTGAGAAATGAAGACCTCAGTCGGAGCGGGAGGAGGGCGCAGACCCTGGAGAGACCGATGGAGGGGGAGGATGTGGCCCTTGTAGAAGAGCTCGTCAGTGGGCCAAAGGTCGGCGGCTACAGAGATTGATTTCCGGGGGCGGTGGAGATGACGAACTCTAAGTCGGAGGAAGAGGAGGCGTGGATGGAGGATGAGGGCAAACAAATTTTTCTGGTCATTATCAATTTGGGATATGTGAGTTGGGAGAAAATTATAACTGATACGAAAAATCGATTGCGTGTACAGAAATTCTGCCGAAGACACCCACCAGATTTTCGGGCCACAAAATCCTCTTTCCATTATGAGGTATTGAATTGACCAAGATAACACGCAAAAGCCAATTACAACAGGGTTACTTACGTAAATTTAAAGCTAAATCGTTCACCAAACGGCGTCGTTTGGCCAGACTCAATTAAAAAATTATTAAAAGGCAGTCTACGACTACAAACCGTAGGAAAAAAACAAGCAAAAAAACTGTAACGTGGAGAGAGAGAAAAAGAGGGTAAATTGAGTGACAAGAACGGTAAAAAAAAGGTAAACGTATGGGCATTTTTGTCATAAAAAAATGACACATGTCAAGCCTTCAATACCTCATACTTTTACTTAATATAAAAATTATTAGTACTTGTTAAGATCGAAACCTTCAGTTATTAGTACATTACAAACTAAACTAATACATTATGGTGACACACAACATAATAAAATAATTTACAACAAAATTGTAAAGTTATATTTAAATGATTAATTTTGCCCATATCATTACTATTATATGTAACATCTTTATCTGATTTTTTTCGATTAACAGTACAACCACAAAATGAGACAAACATTTTATTTATGATATGTTTATTTAAGCCATCTAACACGTGCATATTCAAATTTATTTGTGATATGTTGGAGATAAGATATTACACTCGTAAATAAATATTATCTCATATTCAAAATTAAATCATCTAACGCGTCCATATTCAAATTTATTTATGATATGTTGTAAATGATATATATATATATATAAATATATATATATATCTGGCAAGTTTCAATAAATTTTATTCAACCAGCATTTAATAATAATATGAGTTCATTTAATAAAAATAGGTGTTCATTTAATAAAATTATGTTCACCATTTAATAATAATAATATGTAACTTTCAATTGTACAATTTATTTTGACAGATCTCATTTTGGATGGTGCCCATTTCTGTAACATCTTTTCATGTCCTGAAAATACAAAATATTTTTTTTATATTGATAATATATATTTTTTATATCATATAAATATATATTTCACAATTAATTAAGAATAACTAAAAATATATCCATTTTCTATTGTTGTCATACAATAATAAAAAAAATATTTTTTTGTGATATTACAAAGATACATCAAATATTTTGAAAAATCAAATTCCAGAGTCAAGAGTCGAAGAGGGTTAACGATAATGATTTGTTGTGATGGGGAAACCACGACTGTTGCATATAAAGAAGTGTTTAGTGATATATAGATTCGTTTTCTTTTTTTTTCCTGTATGATTTTTATTTTATTCTGTATTTTTAGTTACTTTCTCTTTTATTATATTATTTTTCATGCAAATGCACGTGGTAAAACTAGTATACATTATGTCGTATTTAAAAAACTTGCAACGTTTTAGAATATTTTATAAAGAAAATTATGGCATCCTATAATTTAGGGAATAACATTTCATCTCTTTAAATCAGTTTATACGATATGTTTTGAATAAAACATAATGATTTTATCCGTAATTTCATATAGCATTCCAAAGTTTGAAATTCAAATCATTTTTGAAGTTTTCATATTAAATAAGCAAAAATTTTGTGGTATAGTAAATATGAATTTTTCTATAGATACTAGTATATAACTCGTGCGATTCACGGAATACAGATGTTAAATGGCCAAGTTTCGCAAATTCTATTCGTTTAACCCCAAAAAATAATAAGATCGCATCATTTATGTTCCACCTATTTTCACCATTGTTATTGTCATCATCATCATCATTATTATTGTTATTATTATTATTATTATTATTATTATTATTATTATTATTATTATTATTATTATTTTGCCAAAGCGTTAAACCTAAGTCTCTTATGGCTAGCTTATAAGTTAGTCAATATGTTAGCTCACAAACCTGTTTATATTAATATAAGTAAAATTTTTAATATATATACACACACTTCTTGATAAATGAAATACTAACAGGTTTACTTATTTTTGTTCACCATATATTATTTTTATTATTTTATTCTAAAAATTGTTATCGTATAATTTCATTATTATTTTCGAAAGTTATAGAAGTAGTCTTTTTGTTTTGTATTGAATGATAAATATTTAACATGCATTAATATTATTCATTAATGTAACTAACCAAANAAAAAAAAAATTCAGATAGAGAGATGTAACACATTGTGTGTTTATTTATATGAAATAGCCAAATAATCCAATCAATCAGCCTAAATTTTTTTCGGCGATGTTGTATTGGAATTTAAATTTCTATAATAATTAAACACATTTGATTGAACAATTACCCAAAATTAAATTCCTTCTACACTATGAATATTCCTAGTTTTCATCTTACAACATTATAATTCATTTACAATAGTAAGCAATGAAAATATAATTTACAATAATTTCATTAGGAAAAGAAATTAAGATTAAAAATAAAAAAATAAAAAATCTTTCTAGATTCCTGTAAATTCAAAATATTAGCTAATAAGTATTCTGATTTTATAAAATAAATTATGTAGCTTAAACAATAATGATAATTTTTTAATTAATTATTAAATATATCGATTTACATAGTACCACATTTGAAAAATATCAACAATTAATATAATATTACATTACCACATTACCATATTTAATTAGTATAACATTACCATGCATATTAAGGTTATTTACAAAATAATAATAATAATAGTAATAATTAAATGATGTAATTTGTAAACTGCTAAGCCGGGGGTAATTGGTGACTACTCTGAAGGTTGCAAGAAGCAAATGCCAACTGCACGAGCACGAATTTAAACCACAGCAAACAATGACAGAATAAATTGGTTGCATCTTGCATGTGACCATAAATAAATTCTAGAGAAATCCAGATTTTTACACTGACCAACTACCTATACTACCCAGGCTCATCAAATTAAAGAAAAATAGGTAAAGAGAGGATTCAAGAGGCTCGTAAGGATTAACATACCGATTGAGTCAACTCGATGTTTTGGTATTATCATTACAAAATTATCACTACAAAACAAAAGAACTTTTGGATTTTTTTCTTCGATTGAGCCAACTTAATGTTTTGGTATTATCATTACAAAATTATCACTACAAAACAAAGTTTTTCTTCTTTCGTAGATGAAGAGAAGACATATAAACGATACACCACGAATGGTTGGTATTATCATTACAAAATTATCACTACAAAACAAAGTTTTTCTTCTTTCGTAGATGAAGAGAAGACATATACACGATACACCACGAATGGTTGTTCACCCAACCCTAATGCAGCTAACTTATCATCAAACTACAACTTACAAGTATAAATACTAATGGGATGATCTAATTGCGCAAGATATACAAGAAGCATTTTTCAAGACTGTTCAATATCTCTTCTTGACTTTTAAATAAAGGTTCAATAATGTATAGATATTGGACCTTTTGAGGCAATTATAAACTTAGGAGACAATTTGGATTGATCAATAAAAAATGACTNCTTGAGTTTGTCCAATTTATCGTGAAAAGTCAAAGGGGATAAAAGAACCCTGTCATTTAAGTCCAGAATATCGAGAAACCGGCAGAATATGCAAGTAACCCAAGATATTGCAGCAAAAAATACAAAATATATGTCCGCTGTAAGGATATTAGTCATCAAAGAGGAGAATTATAGATTAGGCAATACTCAAATCAAGGAGGCATGAGATACAGTTCTAATTCACCTTGAATGGCCATTTATATAACAGAAACATAATGCACACTGACAAGATTCAGTGTAATAATAGATGTGCCTAAGGAAACTGAAGAAACTAAGAACAGCCATCGTACCAGTTATAATTTATTATGCTGCCAGGCTACCAACAGAAACCTCATTGAGTGTTCTAATTTTAGAAAACTCAAGTAAATATAGTGATCAAAGTCAACAAGTACGCAGAACATTGTCCAGATTATCAGAATAAGGCAGAGTAGTACAATAAAATTAAACTAGGCGAGTCATCACACACTATAAACCAGCAGGTTCAGACTCAGAAGAAACTTACTAGATTCGAATATGTCACTAACTATTGGACAGATTCAGATTAGCTGTACAGAGATGATGGAAAGAAAATTACCTATAGCTTAACAAACAGTGACATTGCAGAATGTGGCTCTATGCATAGATGATGAAGATGCAAACCCAGACAGGATCCTCGAGACATAACACCCAAGAGTCGATGATTAAATAGTACAAACACTATCAACATTTCTGAAATTCAATTTCAAAAGGGACATACAATACGAGTCGATAATACTGAAAAGTGGAAAAACAGTTCATATAAGGCCAGCTATGGAATATCATCTGTGTGAATTTCAATACTCTATTAGATAAAGTAATCCCTTAATGCAACTCCAAATCATAGTACCAGATTCGATCCAGAAAAAGCTGTGAATTAACATATTGTTCAATCGTGCACCGGAAAATCAAAGCATGCCAGACAATTAAATTCCACCATGATACAAGTTCAAAGAAAATAAAAACAACAGAAAACAATAGCATAAACAATATTTAACAAAAAGAACCAAGAATTAGTACCACTGCAACTGCCTCATCAACATTCACAACTTCTTGATTGACATCAGAATCAAACTCAAGGGGGAGCTAGTCCATAATACTGCTATCACTGCTATCCTGTTTACAAAAAAAGCAATCAAGAGATAGAACTCAAAACATGAATCTCTAACCAACAATTTTCCTGAACCAATGAACAAAAAAGAAGCAGCCAATGCACTACTCCATCCCTGGTCAGTCCCTATCGGCATTTGAATCAAAGCTGAAAAGATTTACAACAATCATCTTTTAGGCAATCATTTAAGAACTAAC